CTTTGAGAGACAGTATCTCACTTTTAGGTCAGTTTGGAACTCACCGTGCATGCAGTCCAGGCAGGCCTTGAACTTGTGGCAATCCTGCCTGGCCTGTTTTGGGTTTTTGTTAATTTGTTTGCTTCCCCTGTTTGGAATAGAATCTCATGTAGCACAGACTACACTCAAACTCTTTATCTCCTCGAGTCTGGCTTTGAACTCCCATTCCTCTTGCCTCTGAAGGGCAGGGACTGCAGGAGGGCACCGCGATGCCATTTTCAGTATTAAATACAGATTGGGGTAAACGTGTTTCACTTCCTTAGCTCTTATCTCTCGTGTCTTGTTTGCTCCATCACTGTCATATAGACACCCTGGGTTTTCAGTGTGAGGTAGGTGACTAAAATCCTCCTCCTCCCCTCCACTGTGACTGTGCTCCCCAGTTCCGGCTTTCCTAAGGGAGGGAGAAGAGCTAGGTGAAGAGGGACTAGGGGTGGAGGTGGAGAAACCTGAGATCTGAGATCTGACCTCATCCACCTCACAGCTCTCCAACCTTCTCTTCCTTGCCCCAGGCACAATGCTCCCTCCCTGCCTCCCTCCCTGCCTCCCTGCCCCCTCCCTGCCTCCCTCCTTCTCCCCCTCCCTCCTTCCCTCCCTTCCTCCCTCAGCCTGAAGTCATTGCTGATTGTCCTCCCAAAGCCATTCTGAATACTTGTCTCATATGCCTCTGACTTTCCCAGCTACAAGGACACACGCTCCCCAAGTTGCTCACCTCCCCAAGTTGCTCACACTCCCCAAGTTGCACACACTCCCCAAGTTGCTCACACACCTTGCAGCTTAAGTTGGCCTTGCCAGCTAGTGGAACTCTGCTGTGGGAACTCTGGAAAATGTTCTTGTTTTCTCACACAATGAGACTTCCGGTGCAGCAAGTGCAGCTTCCTCTCCTTGGGCCTTTTCTGCCATCTTGCAACCCTGAGACAAAAAGCAAGTCCCTGCCATTCAATCCAATCTACGTGTGTATTTCCTGCTGTGGGAGAAAAGAAAACTTCACCAGTTTCTTCTAACACTTACTGTTCCTAAATTATATCTCGGTTGTGGGGGGTGGAATAGGGTAATTTAGAGACAGGGGCATTCCGGGCCTTTTTGAAAAGGTAGGGGGTCAAGGTACCATCAATGGGACGGTGAGACCCAGCCACCAGAAAAGGTGACAAAGGACTCGCTGTCACTCAGGCTGGACTGTAGTGAGGAAGAGACTAGAGACTGGGGAAGTAGAGATCAAGCCACACAGGGCTGTGCAGGTCACAGACACTCTCGGTTGTCTTAGTACAGTGAGAGGGGCTTGTGTTTATTCCCTTAGCAATGAAGCTGGCCTTCCTGACTCAGCCACGCACTCCTGCTTATATTTTCTGCACTGTGGACGGAAATTTTCTTCTAAAATATGATGGGGTCACATTCCCCATTAATGCCACATGAGAACTTTTAATTTTGCTTAGGACAAAATCCAAACAGGGGCAGGAGAGGTGGCTTAGTGGTTAAAAGTACTTGCTGCTCAGTCATGAGGATTCCTGCACCATCTTTAGGCCTCTGTGTACACACACACACACACACACACACACACCATACATATATAAAATTCCCACCTTCCTGACTGAAAAGTTTCCACACCCCGATAAACCTCTCCACTGATGCAGCAATCCAAATCAGACCAAATCAAACCTAGTTAGAAAAAGCCCACGTTTAATGGATACAAAGCTCCCAGATGGCCTTCCAGCCACCCAGGAGGAGACAGGAAAGGGAGACCAGAAACACCATGAGTCTGTTCTCTAGGGCACAGTTTAAATCCCCTGTGGGAGTGGTCTTGAGCATCTCTGGGGGAGGGGCCCATCATTTGGCGGGCTTTCTGAGATGCAGCAGGGTTTGGAGGGAGATGGGGGGACTTGTGTGGAATTTCCACCATAACATTCCAGACTCTTTGGGTGTATGGATGCCAGGGGCTGGGGTGAAGCTTCCACCTTAAAACTGACATGACCTAAGGGCCCTGTACCACCCTTCTCTTCGTCTGTGTGACAGGTTCTGTTCTGCCCGTGGGCCTTACCTCCTCATCTGTGTGAGAGTCCTGACACCACCCTTAATACAGAGTGGGTGTGTGAAGTGAGCGTACATGCACAGTGCACGAGGCCGTCAAGGCTGCAGTCCAGAAGCGACCCGGAAGGCCTCCAGCAAGCATGTCATCATCTGTTGTCTCTCCTTACTTCCCACTTGTGCCCACCTATCTATTTCTTTCCCTGCTAAGCACTGCACAAAGCCCCTGCTGTTCCCATAGTAACCCCAAACCCTGACAGGGGCCCCCTGACTCTCTCCTGGGTGATCTTTACAGTTGTCTAAGTTAGAGCTGCACCTCTCCATCCCGAAGCTCCCGCCTTGCCTAACCCACAGCCTGCTCCAGCTCAGCTGCTTTCCCCACTTCCCGCCCATAGCCTCCTCCCCCTCCCTCTCCACAGGCCAAACTACTCATCTTTCATTCCTGTCTTGTTCAGTTAAGGAAACTGGACTCGAGCCTTTTCTGAGCTCATCTCATCGCACTGAATAAATCCTCCTGGTGAAATTTCCTGCCCCCAGGGCTGGTTGTGTGTGGGAGTGTGATTTTCTTCCCATCTGCTTTTGTAAACTTCTGCAAACCCCTGAGGACCACAGCTGCAAACCCGATCCTCAGCTATTGTTCACAGATGTGCTGCCTGGAAGCCCTGGTAAACATCCACTCAGAGATTGCCTCTTTCTCTGGGACCCCCGGAGGATGCTCTGCAGATCCCTAAATACAGTGGACGCCATCAACAGTGCTCTGTTAAGACTGTGGACCTTGTGACTGGAGAGGTGGCTCAGTGGTGCTTGTTGCTCTTCCAGAGGACTGGAGTTCAGTTCCCAGCAGTCAAGTCTGGTGGCTCCCAGTCTCCGGTAACGCCAGCTCCATTGGGCCTTCTTACGGGATCTGAGGACACCAGCACGCGCACGCGCACACACACACACACACACACACACACACACACACACACACACACACACACACACACACACGCACGCACTCGCGCACACACACAAATAAATATTTTTTTAAGGGACTATAGAACCCAGGAAATAATTAGAATTGTCTCTGCTGCTTATGTCAAAGATTTGTATTTTTGGTTTCTCCCTAGACAAAGTTCTTAGAAGAATTACAGATGAAAAGCTCATGCATAAATCACATGTTCCCTCACTAACAAAAATACAAACTAGATCATTTTTAAAAATCAGTTTCCAGTGACCCAGATGGCAGAGAGAATCCTGCTGGGAATTTCCTGATCTGCCACAGAATTTTAAAACTCAACAAGAATGACGCTGCCAATCTCGGCTCGTTTTAGAAAGCCGGCAGTGAGGGGTTTTGAAGGAAAGTTGGAACTGGAGAAGCACTGCTCCCTCCTGACCCCAAGACAGGGGACACAGTGGCACACTTCCAGGGCGTTCTCAGTTCAGTGAATGACTCATGTCTTCACGAGCCAGACCTCATTGCGACGTCCATAGGGCTTCATGGGAGGGTCATAGCCGGTACAGTAGTAGAGGTCACCCTGGTAGGTGGCTGTTGTGCCCTCCAGGGCAGTACGTAGCTGGGTGGCGTGAGCGATGTAGTCTGCTTCCTTGGCATAACCACTGAATTGCCTGAACATAGAAGAGCAAGAGCTGGTAAGAAAGGACATGATCTTGCAGGGAAGGCAAGTCTTTTAGGGAGAAGGCAAGACCATGGGTAGGATAAGCATGCCACAGAGGTGAGACAGGGGTGGGGTGGGTGAGTGGGCGTGGGGTCCCATTCATCTCCTCTGTAAACAAGCAAAGATTGCTGTTCTTCCACTTATGAGTGTTGCATGCAACATGGCAACTAAAAAACCGTAACTCGAAGAACCAGGTGCAGCTAAATACGAGCGCTCCTTATGGGAGGTTGACTATCCCAGGGCCTGTCACCCTTTTCTCTGGCTCCCTCTGCTGCCTCAGCCTGTCTGTCACCAGCAGGAAGGGAGAGCCATGGTGGCCTTGTCATGGTGGGGGTAGCAGCTGTATGTCTTCTAAGCAGACAGCTGTCACAACTGAGCACATCCTAACAGGGACACATGGTGGCTTCATTAGATCAGAGCTGACCAAAGCTGGGACCCAAGGATGTCTTGACAGGGACCCCACGCAAGCAAGCTGCACATGCTTTCCCCACGAAGAAGCCTCTTCTGACCACCCTCGTCTTTGCAAAGCTAGGGAAACCTTCTTTTCCTAGGAAGTAAGGACTCCTCACAGACTGGGTGACAGAAATGGGGACTAGAGAAGATGTCCCTTTCCAGGTTAGACCCTTCCTTGTGTCATCGCCTCCACAGCAAAACATCCTGCAGCCAGCTCTAAATATACCACTCTACATCTGGGCTACACTAACCTCTTTATTAGAGTCAGATACACCCGCATTGCTAATGGGCTTTGTGACTCAAAAATCTGACTTCGAACCAGGCCAAGACGAGGCCAAATAATACTTTATTTTTGGTGGAGTTCTTTGAATCATGCTTGGCTCTTTTATGAGCGGTTAGTCACGCTCAGCAAGCAAGCATTCAGCCTGGTGATTACAGGGTCACCCAGGACTTCATCTGTGAGGGTTTGCTCATCCTAATGTCCAAACAACAGCCAAAGAACATTGGAGATGAAACCAATTTCAATTGAATGCAACGTGGTTCACGCAAGCTGACGGAAGGGCAGAAAGCAGATGAAGACAGCTGAGATCTGCTTCACTGAGCCTCACTGGGGAAGAAATTGGATTAGCAGACAGAAGATAAGATTCAAGGGCTTTTCTAGCAATAAAGGCCCGTGAGACACTGGAGTTTTGTAATGTCTGTGTTTGGGAATTGCCTGTGTGAAAAAAATAAAAGAGGATCTAGCAATGGGAACATTGTGTGGTAGACTTCCCACAGCCTCTACTTATGCCTTGATATGAAACTGCTCTGTGAAAACAGATGAATTCATGCCCTCCCAACTACCAATTTTGGGTGGTCTGGCAAGGTGACGTAGAGGTTAAGAGCACCTTTTGATCTTGAGAGGACCTGAGTTAAGTTCCCAGCACCCGCATAGCAACTCACAGCTTCCTGTAACTCCAGCTCTAGGAGATCCTATGCCCAAAGTCACAAAACTACACACAGCCATGCTTAATTAAATGTAAAATAAAATCGTAAAAACAAAAATCAAAACCAAAGGGTTGCCTTTGAAGGGTCCAGAAGTATTGTTCTTAATTGCAAAATAGCTGAGTGCACGCTCCAGTCCTAGGGTGCACGCCCCAGTCGGCCCTGCCACTTTACAGCTCCCAGTCAAGGTCAAGTTCTTTAGTATCTTGAATGTTTGAGTCCTTTGTTAAGTAAGGATGATGATAGCGCCAATCTTGAGAGTCAACTGGAGAAATTAAGGGAGAAAAGACTTCAGACTGCCTAGGGGAAGTGCCAGTAGTTAGGTACCACTGTGACAGTTGTCCCTTGCTGTCTATGAGGTATTCTAGGTCCATGCAAAAATACTAAAATCTGCAGCTACTCAAGTCACTTATGCAAAAGGTACAGTATCTGGATATGTCCCCATGTCATCTTCTCATATACTTTATCTATTTATTTACTGTGTGTGTGTGTGTGTGTGTGTGTGTGTGTGTGTGTGTGTTTGTGTGTGTGTGTGTGCGCGTGCGCGCGCGCATGTGCTTCGCATGGTGCCACGGTGTGTGGGGGCTGAGAACAACTTGTCCAGGTTGCTTCTTTCTTTTCACAGTGTGGATCCCCGGGATTAAACTCATCAGCTTTGACAGTCAACACCTTTACCATCGGAACCACCTCAAAAGCCCTCACGTAGCACTTCCTAGCTTAGTATCTGAATGTCTGTCTGTCATGAGTATCTGAATGTCTGTCACCATGCGACAGCTAACTTTTGTTAACTTGACTGGATTTGAATCAACCAGGGGACACCCCTTAGGGTGTGTGTGTGTCAGAATGTTTCTAGAGATGTCTAACTGAGGAGGAAATGAGCAAGGGCAGTGTGACCTCACAGACTGAATCAAAAGGGAAGAAAAGAGAAAGCGAGCTGAGCATCCAAGGCGCCCACCTCTCTCGGCTCAGTGACTGCATGCAAGCACCGTGACCATACGCCTCACACCCCTGCCTCCAGCCTTCTCTGTTGTGATGGGCTGGCTGTGTTGCCTCTCAAACTGAGCCAATGAAAACTTTCCTCCCGTAAGTTGCTTTTGTCCGGTATTTTGTGACAGCAGCAAGGAAGCTATTACACACTGTGAAAATCGTAGACACAGCAAAGACCAGGACTCAGAGATGCTCACTGGGAAAGCCCTGGGTTTGGTAGCAGAAGCACAGGTGTCTCGACTCAGGCGGTCTTGGCTACAGTCACGGGGAGGAGTGAGTGATTCCAGGTACCAATGCTGCATGGAGAGCTGAAAAGTTCAGTGGTGTCTATAGGGATAGGACCTGCCAAAGGACTCTTGGGAGTAGGAGACCCAGTTGAGAGTGACAAAGGGAATGCTGTCATTCAGGAATTTAATAAGTTCACTCCTGGAAACCCCCGCTTCTTCACATTTATTCCTGGGCAAAACATGATGCTTGCAATAAAAGTAAAAGTTCCCTCTTGCTTCACCATGGAAACGACTAGAAAACAAACAGGGAGGGTCCTAGAAACACGGGCATGTGCTCTCTTCTCATTTGACCAATTCACTATGGCCCCATCACAGAAAGACACAAACAAGCCAGATAGCCAGGTCCTCCCAGGACCACAGCCCCTCTCACGGAGGAGGCCCAGCATGGGCTGACTCAGCCTGTCACCACCAACAAGTACCTCATCTCTGCCAGTCTCAGCTTCGCCTTTGCCTGCAGGATGACAACTCAGTGTCCACAGCTCTCTGAGTTCATAAACATGCTTGAGTGTGCTCTAAGGAATGCTCGTAAAGTCTCCCAGCTCCCAAAAGGAAATACAGTGCTTCAATTGTTTTTGTAAGCCTCTTAATACGTTTCTAACTCCTTGTCTTCAAAGAAGTTGTCCTCCAGGGCACTGTATTTTTCTCAGCCAACGTCAGAATAGAGACTGTGGTTACCATGGAAGCAAAAGACACAGACACACAGAGATACACAGAGACACACAGATGACACACACACAGACACACATAGACACACACACACACACACACACACACACACACACACACACTTCCAGAAATAAGGGACTAACTAAAAAGACTAGGGAAGTAAGGAGGTGGCTAAGAGGCAGGCTTTCTGTCGGTCAAGGGGTTGATATGCACCCCATGTTATCTTTCAGGGTGCCTTGATGCTAACAGGCAGTGAGGAAGGAAAAATGGAATGACTCTGAAACTGACCATCTAATATCTAAACCTTTAAGAGGTCAACACCAGTTTGCAGAGAGCTAGCTGTTGTCCTCCTTTTTCTTTCTCCCTCTGTCACTGTGACAAGACACTGACCAAGAGCAACTTGGTGAGAAAAGGGTGAGAAAAGGCTTCCACTTCCACATGACAGTCTGTCAGCATGACAGTCTGTCAGCATGACAGTCTGTCAGCATCACGGTCCATCACCCAGGGAGGATGGGAACCTGGAGGCAGGAACTGAACCAGAGGCCATAGAGAATCCTGCCTACTGACTTGCCACCCATGGCTTACACAGCCTGCTTTCTTATAGCACCAAGCACCAACAGCCTAGGGCTGGCACCTCCCACAGTGGGCTGTGCCCTCCCATATCAATCATTGATCAAGAAAATTGCTGGAGACCTCCCTACAGCCCAATCTAATGGAGGTAATGTCTCAATTGAGGTTCCCTCTTCCCAGGTGGTGTGTTTGCTAGTTTCATGTCAGCTTGACCCAAGCAAGGGTCATCAGAGAAGAGCAAGCCTGTAGGGCCTCTTCTTAATGGATGATTGATAGGGGAGGGTCCAGTCCATTGTGGATGGGGCCACCCCTGGGCTATATAAGTGGTTCTGGGTTCTATAAGAAAGCAGGCTGTAGAAGCCGTGAAGAGCAACACTCCTCCATGGCCTCTGCATCAGCTCCTGCCTCCAGGTTCCTGCCCTGCGTGAATTTCTGTCCTGACTTCCTTCAGTGATGGACTACAAGGGGGAAGCAGAATCCAAACAAACCCTTCCCACAGCCGGGTGGTGGCGCACACCTTTAATCCCAGCACTTGGGAGGCAGAGGCAGGCAGATCTCTGTGAGTTCAAGGCCAGCCTGGTCTATAGATTGAGTGCCAGGAAAGGCTGCAAAGCTACACAGAGAATCCCTGTCTCGAAAAACCACCCCCCCCCAAAAAAACCCAAACCAAAAGAAAACACCAACCAACCAACCAAACAAACAAAAAACCCAAATCAAAAACAAACCAAACCCTTCTCTCCCCCAACTTGTTTTCAGCCGTGGTATTTCATTGCAGCAATAGTAACCCTAACTAAGACACCAGGAGACTCTAGATTGTGCCAAGTTGACAAAAACTAACCAGCAGCTATGCAGCAGCTATGTAGCAGGCATGAAGAGTACAGAAGAGTAACTTTCTATCTCAGTTCACAGGGAAGGGGGCATTTCATTCAAGCAGACTGAACAAGTGGGTGGCAGGCACATCCTTGAGCACAAAGCCCAGGCCGGAGTGTGAAAGCTGTAAGAA